GTCCAGGGGCAGCTGAGTTATTGACGTTCAAAATATTTCATAATTTCGTTACATGTTCTATTTTCGGTTTTCTCAAAGTGTACCCCTATATAAGTATCATAGATGTAGTCCTACGTTAAAACCCAAGCAACAATTTTTGTTTTATTTAAGTTTTATAGCAGTTGATATAACCAAATTATAAAACCTTCACTGACGACCACATTGCTTTAACAATCTCCTGAGAACCGCAATACAGCCATGTCATGGCCAATTGGCCCAGTTTTAATGCAGTCATTAAAACTTGATATGCGAACTACTTTAGGAGCATAGGATTTATGTCAGTTTTATCACACTCTAGACGTGATTGTTAAAAATGAAAACATAAAACCTCCTCCAGGTCAGAAAGTTTTAACAGCCTTCTAATGACTACCATAAAACTATATTACAACCGCATAAATCGCTCCTGAAGAAGTTGATAAAACATGATACGCAAAACATTTTGACAACTTTGAAGGTTTTAAGTTGGGGTTTTTGGATCATAGTTAATATTGAGAAATATTTTATTGTGGTTTTATTCTTTCGATGTTTGATGTGAAATCATGATCCTTGTCAGTTGGTAATAATGGCTGATATTATTGTGCATTGAAAATAAGACGACTTTATTATAATTTTAAACCAATCTGTATATGCTTCACAGCATGCCGTGCAATATTTATGGTGATTATTATACCAAATAGGAGCATACATTTAGTGCGCCATATGAATACTAAAATATAGGGATATTTTTAATTTGTCTGCATTAGGACCATGCATTAAAGAGTCATTCAAAGATTATCTATTTAGTACAAAACTGTTACTACTGTTGAGCAATAACCAGTCACATATTATTTAATTATACACACAGGCGTGCGCAGCCCTCTTCATTTGGGGGGGCCCGCCTACCAAATGGGGCGCTTCATAGCTTTGAGGGCGCCAATAATTTAGAAGAGTTAATGTTTACTTATAGTTATTTCTATGGATTCCCAGTGGAGTTATTCTCCTTTTAAGGGATCCTTAAAAACACCAAGTTAAATAAACTAATTTACTACTACTACTGTTTATAATGGTTCATACAGTTTACATAAGAAATTCATTGATTTTTCCTTTCGAGGTAGTGTTTAACTTTGAGTTTAAATTGATTTCGATTTACGATTTGTTTTAGTTCACTAGGTAAAGCATTATATTTAAATGGACCTATATAAGATATTCGTTTTTGACCTTGACTTGTGGAAGCTCTAATGACTGTTAAGTTTCCGGCTTGCCTGGTACTGTGAGAACGGTTGCCAATATTGATTACAAGATTAGAATGTGTTCTATCATTATGAATAATATCGTGTACCAATAAGAGTGTCTGTAGTTCACATAAACCTAAAATTGGAAGGACATTATGATTTCTGCTTGCATAGAGTTCAAAAGTTGAATATAACGGAGGTAGGTTGAAAATTATTTTTAAGCACCTATTTTGCAAAACTTGTAGTTTAACTAATTTTGATTTACATGCAAGGCCCCAAGCTATGATAATATATTGTAATTGAGAATGTATGTGAGCATAGTAAAACTTAAGTAAGACATGTTGCTGAACAAAGCTAGAAACCTTTCTCAAAACGCCACATAAAGCCGCTACTTTTTTCTCTATTTGTTTTACATGTATTTCCCATGAAAACGTAGAATCCAGGTAAACACCCAGATGTGTAATGGGCAAGTGAGCTCGCGCACTAGGAGGGCGGTTGCATTGATTGCAAAATATTACTAAAATTTTGGATGCATAATAAATACACTGATTTTTTAAAATTGCCCTATTTTAAAATTACAATTATATTTCAGACTTGCAAACGCCTTCTAAACAAGTAAGCAAACGCACAAGAAGGGCGGTTGCATTCCTCGCAAAATAATTACTAAAATTTTGGATGCATAATAAATCAGCTGAATTGTTAAAGTTGCCTTATTTTAAAATTAAAATTATATTTCAGACTAACAACCCAAGCAACACGGCTTGTCATAAAGAAGTCGAAAATACTTTGTAATGACTAACGCAAAGAATCACTAATACTTTAATATACATCATTTAATATATTTATACAACCTAAAAAACGCAAGACGCGGAGCTTATACAACTAAATACTGGTCTTATAACATGTTTTGGAAACATCATTAAAACCAGCGACAAAAAAAAAACAATAAAAAATCTTGAGCATGGGGGATTCGATCACTGATCCTTGGCGTGGTAGACTTGTTACTTCCAAACTAGATCAACACCGCTTGATGAAGTGCATCCGCTTGGATGTAATATTAAAATTTATTTTTTGCTGTGTAGAAATTATCGGTACTCACTTGAAATTTTCCTCAGAATCCCTTTGGAATTTCACTCATAATTTACTTTTCTTGGTATTCCATTCGGAGTTGTCTTGGAACTATCTGCAGGATTCACTAGAAATTATTCGCAGAATTTTCTTGGAATACTTCCTAGAAATCCTTCAGAACTGTCATCAGAATTCAAGAGCTCTTTTGAAATGTTTCTTAGAAGTCAACTGGAATTATTAAACCCTTCGTGATTTTTCTCAAAACACCGTGGAACTGAAATTCCCTTAGAGTTTCAGAAATTTTTTTCCGGAATGAGCTAGAAATCATCATCATGGATTTTCACTCCAAATTTGATTTTCTCGGTATTCTTTTCGAAATTATCTTGCAATTAACTAGTTAAAAAATAATAATCTTGGAATTAACTGCAGGATTCACTAGAAGTTATCCACAGAATTTTGTTTGAATTCTCCCAAGAAATCTTTTGGAAATGTCCTCAGAATTCAATATCCTTGAGGTTCTTCTCTGAATTTTTTAGAACTTTTTTTTCTCAGAACACCTTGGAGCTGAAATTCCCCTAGAGTTTTAGAAGAATTTTTTCTGTATTCTCTAGAATTCTTCCCAGAATGAGCGTGAAATTATCCTCGAAATTCCCTTGAAATTTTCCTCAACATCCCTTTGCAGTTTCAATCAGATTCAGTTTTTGCAGGATTCACTAGAAATTATTCTTAGAATTTTCATGGAATTCTCGCAAGAAATCTTTTGGAACTGTCCTCAGAATTCACTTTCTTGAGGTTCTTCTTGGAATTTTTTAGAACTCTCCTAAGAGCTCTATTAAAATTCTTCTCAGAACTCATTTTGAATTATTTTTAGAACTTTTCATAATTTTTCCTCAGAAAATCTTGGCACTGAAATTCCCTTAGAGATTCAGCAAAATTTCCGCAGTATTCTCCTGAAATCCTTCCTGGAATAAGTTAGAAATTAGCCTTGGAATTCTCTTGACACTTTTCTCAAAATCCCTTTTCTTGGAATCATTTTCAGAAATCTTTTTGACCTGTCTTCACAATTAAATACCCTTGAGATTCTTCTTCGATTTCTTAGAATTCTCCTAAGAGTTCTTTAAAATTCTTCTCAAAACTCCTTTGGAATTATTTTTAGAACTCTTCACGATTTTTTCTCAGACCACCTTGGAACTGAAATTTCCTTAGAGTTTCAGAAGAATTTCCTCAGTATTCTCTAGAAATTTTTCCCGAACTGAGCTTGAAATTTTCTTTGGAATTCCCTTGATTTTTTATTTAAAATCTAGCTATCTGCAAAAATCACCAGAAATTATCCTCAGAATTTTCATGAAATTCTCCCCAGAAATCTTTTGGAACTGTCCTCAGAATACACTATCCCTGAGGTTATTCTCGGAAATGTTTAGAACTCTCCTAAGAGCTCTTTTGAAATTATTCTCAGAACTCCTTTGGAATTATTTTTAAAATTATTCGCGATTTCACAGTTCCTGATGAATTTCCTCAATTTTCTCCAGAATTTTTTCCCGGAATGAGCTAGACATTATACTCGGAATCACCTTAAAATTTTCCTCAATTTTGGAATTTCACCCAAAATTTTATTTTTTCGGTACTCTTTTTGAAATTAAATTCTGTTCCATTTAGAATTTGGCCGTACAAAATAGGTTATTTCTCCAAGGAGAAATAAAGTACAAAAAGGCTTATTTGTTTATTTGTTCTTCGTCGTCGACAGTGTCGTCCAGACTAGTTTAACTTATGCTATGTTTTTAATCCTATTTTTAAAACAATTTTTGGACACATTAAAATCAAACAAATCACTAACATTGTTGAAAGCTCTGAGGCAAGAACTGAGCGGGTTGTTATGACCATAACATGTTCTATGTGCGGGAACTGCGATAAGTGCTGAGTACCGCAGCTGACGCTGTGGAACGTTCAGTGATACTTGCAGGAGAAGATCCGAACAGTCGACGTTATTCTGGACGATATCGAATATAACCAGCCGCTGCAATTTCAGCCGTCTTGCCGATAGCAGTTCCAGATCAATTAGTTGACATCGTTCTGGATATGCAGGTAGATGGACAGGATCATTCCACGGTAGGTGCCGAAGAGCAAAGCGAATGAATGATTTCTGCACACGTTCGGTGCGGATCACCTGAGATGTATGGTACGGTGCCCAAATGGGAGCAGCATATTCCAGGATACTTCGCACTAAAGCACAGAACAAGGCTTTTAATGTGTGCACGTCGGTGAATTGAGATGCATTGCGGCGAATGAACCCAAGAACGGAGAAGGCTTTGGCAGTAACGGTGGATATATGTTCGTTGAATCGAAGCTTACAATCCATGATAACTCCTAAATCACGGATAGACTGCACACGTTCCAGCGGACCAGTGTCGATATTGTAAAGATGATTGATGGGAATCCAACAACGGCTAAAAGTGATCACCTTGCACTTATTGATGTTCACGCACATTCCATTTTCCTTGCACCATCGTGAAAGGGCATCGATGTCAATCTGCAGAGCAACACAGTCCAAAACAGACTTGATGACTCTGAAGATTTTGAGGTCGTCGGCAAAAAACAACTTTCCAGAAGATATTTGCAGGCACAAGTCATTGATGAAGAGCACAAAGATCAATGGACCTAACACACTCCCTTGTGGAACTCCAGATGGAATGTAGAAGGTCCTGGATCGTGCTGAGTTCACCTGGACGAATGCTTTCCTACCAGTCAGGTAAGACATTAGCCAGTCGGCTATCCAATCGGGAAAACCCATATGTCTCAGCTTTTCCACGGCATAGCTATGCGGAACAGTATCAAATGCTTTCGAAAAATCAATGTATACAGAGTCCACTTGATTCCGGCTTTCAATCTCACGAAACAAAACGTTGGTGTAGCATAATAAGTTGGTTGTTGCAGAGCGATGGGGAACGAATCCATGCTGGTATTCCGAAATTATCGGTTTTGCTGCAGACAGTAAGACCTCGTGGACCAAGGATTCAAAGAGCTTTCCCAGGCAACAGAGAATCGAGATCCCGCGGTAATTTTCAGCGTGCCGCACGCTACCCGATTTGTGGATGGGAATCATTTTGGCATAAACCTGGGAATGTTTTTTCATTTAACGATCGATTGAACAGTATCGTCAAAGGTTTAACTATAGACTCGGCGCAATTCTTCAGCAGTGTTGGAGTTAAACCGTCGACTCCGGCTCCTTTCGACGCATCTAGTTTGGCTAACGCTCTCAACACTTCCTCACGAGAAAAATTGAAAAAAGGAAGGTGGATATCATGGGATGGCACATTTTGAAAACAACCCGGGTGAGGTTGGGACGACTCCGCATTAAACACACTTTGAAAGAAGGTCGAAAAAAGATTAGCTGCCTCTTCAGAAGAGCAGGCCAAAGCGTCACCATACTTGACATTGTCCGGAACACGATTGCTTGCCCTTTGTTGCTTCACGAACCTCCAGAACATTGATGGGTTTTGTTTCAAATTCGATTGCAGCCTCTGCATGTATTCATGGTAGCTTGATGCTACGAGCTCTTTGTAGGACAGTTCCACAAGGTGAAGCGATTCTCGGTTTTCAATGGTTTTGTTAGCGAAGAATCGTTTACGTGCTTTACGCAGTCTGTTGCGCAGGTTTCTTAACTCAATGGACCACCAGGGCTTCCTGTTGGCTCCACTAATAGCAGGGCGGCGTCGAGAGACCTTCAAGTGGAGAATTTCGTAAAGCTTGTCGTAAAACAGAAGAACATTTTGTTGGATTTTTATTTAACTTTAAGGGAAAAATACAACAAAAATTATTCATCGGTAAGTAAGCTAAAGGAGAAAAATCTATACAAATCTCTAATAAGGAAAATCCCCAAAGGCTTGGTAGCCATCATAATGAAGTAATGAAATTGGGTTGTTAGCGGAATGCTAAATAAAACAGCAAAAGGGTTTATCTTCCATTTAATTCCACTTAATTAATTTTTGTATCCATGACAGATACGTATTTCGACTACGGGATTTTCCTTATTAGAGATTTGTATAGATTTTTCTCCTTTAGCTTACTTAAATCTTTGGTTTTTATTAGTTAGGTAGGTTCCGATTCAACACATTGTAGTTTCATTTTTATACCTATGATCTTGACTTTTTTACCTAGGGGATGAGTACTTAAGGGGGTTAGATTTTGATAAGTTCTTTAGTGGGAATGACACTGATGAAGACTGCACATTGTAGTCGAAATACGTATCTGTCATGGATACAAAAATTAATTAAGTGGAATTAAATGGAAGATAAACCCTTTTGCTGTTTTATTTAGCATTCCGCTAACAACCCAATTTCATTACTTCACTTTGTTTTCTTTCCGCAATTGCAGATGCCTTGCCAAATCATCAACTTGCGAGCGAATTTATCTGCAAAGACAAATTTGAATTTATCCGTTATCCCCCTTACGTTTTGAAAAGTAAAAATTTTAGCCCGGGATTTATCCAAAGTCCATTTTTACGTAAGTTTCATCGTCCATCAAAATACATCCGTTATACTTGGTAAGAACTTGCTCGTATAGCTTCCTTGCAGGGTTTTTTGCAACCAGGTTTTGCTTCCGCGTCCTTTTGGGATGTTTGCTGGCATGGTACGACCGGAAACCTTCTCGAATACAGATTCGCCGAACTGCCGCACTGAACCTTTTCGCCAAATCACGGCCGGAGATCCCAGGATTCTTTTGGAGTGCTCTTATAACCTTTGATCGTAGTTTTCGGTCGTATGTTCCACTTCAACGTTTGTTTTGTTTTGTACGATCCAACTTTAGTGTTTCCCGGTAACGTTAGCACGGTATTTACAGTCGATTTTGGAAATTTGAGAGCCTTTGCAATCATTCCTCCAGGTGGAGGTTTTTATTCACCAGCGCTCGATTATCAAACCCAAAATTGTCAAAATCAGAAGTGATCCTCAAAAGCAAAATAATCAACGAAATTTTGGGCAAAATGATTATTTTGAATATTGTCGACCACACTGCCTTAATCATCGATATTATCATCAGTTCAGCTTGAGGCAATAATTTGCCGTCGACTTATGTCTAAAAACCACGTTCTTCAGCGCTATATTTGTTTAAAATGAAAATAATCATTATGCATTTGATCCTCAATATCATCTCGACCAAGATGAAGACGAATATCAATATCTACAATAACAGAGGCGATAATGAGAATCCAGCCACGAATGAAGAAAAACAAATGTTATTTTTGATACTCAGAGGTTGCCTAGATCAACGGAATTTGTTTATATCAAAATTCAAATTCATGCAGGTAGTTGGTCTATCTGTTAAGGTTTTCTTCATATTCAGCTAAATTGAGTGTAGAAGAAAGGATTTTTATCAGCACTGGTTACACGTACTTGGAAAACCGTGTTCATAAACCGAACTACATAGGCATCTCTTATTCGCCTTTTGCCTACCGTCTTATACAAGTACTGATAGTCTTGTGGTTAAAGTGTGGGTTTAGTGATCTCAAGGTTCTTGGTTCGAATCCAGTTTTTTGTTGCATTATTTTATTCTTTTTACATTTTTTTTGGTTAAAAGTTAAACCCATGAATTTATTTAGCTCATGATTTCAACTCGGATGATTCATGATTTTGGGAATGTTTGCTGCGTTACGCAAAAGTTGCTCATGATATCATGAATATTATTCATGGTGTATTTTCATAACATGAAAATACGCTGTGTTCATGAAATCATGAGTCATTTATCTCATTTCGGACATGCTATTTTTTCCCGTGTTAATTTTCTTTAGCGGCGCCGGTGGTGTGTAGTGGTAGCTGAATACCTCTCACCCCAGCAGGCTCGGGTTCAATCCCAGTCGGCGCTGCAGGGTGAGTCCTTTTTTTACTGGTTGTTGAATTGAGATTCGATCCGAAACTTGTGAGAAAATGCAGGCTAACTCCCCTGCACTCGATCTTCCTCGTTGATAAGTTAATACATTCGACTGGAGAGAATCGCCCATGAAATATGCTTCAACCTGAGAATTCCTTCCTGACATCTTCAAGTGGTGGATTTCTTTTTATTATTATTATGATTATTGACTGCACGGGAAAGGTCTGCATTAAGCGGGATTTAGATGAGGCAGGTGAGTTGAATTCAACTCAAACCGATCTGGTCGTCGGCGTTCATTTGACTTGGCAACGAATAGAGCAAGTCCGATATCGGTCAGATTTTTGGACGTTCATTTCGCAGTTCAAGTTAGTTGAACGCTGAATTGAACCATCTTAACCCAGCTTAAAGCTGGGTTTAGATAGGGAAAGTCAATTGATCAAGTCAGTTGAATTCAACTGAGTTGAACGCGAATTGAACGTGTAAACCATGCCATTCAACTGACTTGATCAACTCACTTGAATTGAAAAAAGTTGGACCAGGCTCAACTTTTCAAGCCAATTAAATTCAACTGAGTTGTTCAAATGACTTGCCTAGTCTAAACCCAGCTTTAGAGAGGGTCTAGGATAAGAGATGAGCGGACGTGGACTGGCTGGTTTTGAGTCAAACGAACTGTCAAAGCCAGAGCCATACGAGCAGCGCCTATCTTGATTACATTGGCAATGTTGCTGACCCTGTCATAGTCTGCATGCTTCAATTAGATTTATTTTTATTGTTCGTGACGTAACCCACAATGAAAACACATCAATATTTAATGTAACAACAATTTTTATTGTAATAGAGTTGTTCATTATTGTTCATGATCGAATCATGTTAACAGTACAATAAATGAAAAATACGATAATCATTGTAACAACATTTTATTATGTACATTCATTGTACATCTAGGTAGCAGTTTTGCCGTTTTCGGAAGGGTACAACATTATAACAATCATTTTTATTGTCGACAATAAATAGGTATTAATGTTAGAACATTGTTTCCACTGAAAATTTCACTGTAATTTTTTTTCGGGACGAGCTCTTTCAGAAGATGATATATTTTGGCAAAATTAAAGAACCCAACCTACACTCAAAAAATTCCACACGTTCGATCGAAGTGTTTAAACACTTGATTTTTTAAATGCACAATCACATTTACTTTAAGTGTATTTCACCTTGGTTCAATGTGTTATACACGTTAATTTCTAATGTTTCAAATTTTGAAATGTTGAAAATCTTTCACTATCTATTCAAGTGTATTGCACATTGAATCACACTACTGTTCAAAACAGATGGATTTAATGTGTTTTGCATTTCAATGCGATGTGAATTGCTTGCTCAGAAAGGTAAACATCGAAAACAAGAGTTGTGACTTTATCCTATCAACCCGTCTCATATATGAGAACAACCGTGGCACAATGAGATCGAACGAAGACTCCAGCAGCAGCACGTCCCAACAGTCCATGATCAAATCCCAAATCAGACCCATTAAGAAGTTATGTGAAAGCTCTGGCCTCTGGCAGTTTTGTTTATATATTTGTCGATTCATTTTTAGAGTCGGTAAAGTAGAATTCGATAAAGTAGAATATTGTAGAATATTGAACTATGGTGTGCAAAGCTATTGATATCACCATATGAGGCACATAGAATCCAAGTGTGTCACAATTCAAATCCATAGTGTTCAGGCATGATTCATAGCATAAGATTCACACATGAAATGGATGTGTTTCACAATAAGCGCAAAATTAAGTGTGAGACACATGATGATGACGTGTGGAATTTTTTGAAAAAGAGCACACATAGTGAAACAAAAAGTTGGTTTTCCATAGATAAATACCGTTGCGGTGA